TAGTGGATTAATGGTGTGGATGTGTTTGTCTGTAGCTGGAGAATGGCTCAGGACCCCTTCTCTAAAATGGTAAAATAGTTCAAAGATGTTATGTGAAATATTTACCAACGTAACACAAAGTAAATCAATTGAATTTAAAACCGATAATATGAAAATGTCTGTAAAAGAGCTCAAATACACTTTTTGAATATTTATAAAATTCACACATTTCACATCAAATATATAATTGTTGTTTTCGAACCCCCTATTCAAAAGTGCTGGCTACGGGCCTGATTCCTTTAGTTTTTTACAACTCCCCCCTCCCCCACTGAAACGGAATTGATAAATAATGATCATGGCGTCAGACTACATTTACCATTAAATACAAATTGATAATCGGACAGTAGTATGGCATAGCAGTTGGTTGTCGGGTGGGTGTAAAAAGACTTTACAAATACCCTGAAATTGATCTCATTTGACGCATATATTTAGATTCGGACCAAACCTTTTTCTCGACTTGGATATTTTTTTTTATTTTCTGTTGTTTGTCCATGATTGAATAGAAAAACAAACGAACTAAAAATACTCCAAGATTTTTTTGACTTCATTAAAAAATAAAATCGTTTTAAAATTTGTAGATGGAAACATTTTGAAGTCAAAACCCCCCACCCCAAACTAAAGCAAATAAGTTTTTTTATTCGACATCGATCTTTTGACGTCGTTCACACCTCACAGATAAACCGTAAAATTATACTTCGTAGCGTTTGCAGTCGATTCAGACAATATGTGTTGTACAGTTACAATGCAAATACAGTTATCAGGGTTACGTGTGTATTGTGGCGTAAACGTTAGTCGTTTATCTTCTATCCATATCGATAACAGAATTCACGACAAACATGGAGCAGAATTGTGTATAAGTCAAGGAGATTATTTACAAGCGACTTCGATGAAAAAAATGAATTTCCTACTCAAGATACCGTCGCGAGCACGTCAGCGTTAGACCAGATGGGTACCAAAATCAAAACATTAATCCTTGCAAATGGTTGATTATTACCAGTAGTATAATTGTTTAACACAACCATAAACTATTCATTTGTTGACAATCAAACACTAACACGTCCAGTACACTCGTATCTTGACCATGGGCTACCGCAGGTACTTGTGCATGAACATAAATTATCATGCTCAGCTGTTGTCAACCACGGTCGACTACTGTCCACTATACTTGGTGATTATTATCAAGCCTAATTGTATTGCGAAACAGCTAGGGCAAGATCAAAACGGGGATACAACGTCATTTTAATACTTATCAACACATTTCGACCATGGTGATATGAATAAAACAGAGATGGTTAACTTATCACTGCTGACCATGTTTTGGCACATTTAACAAAACGAAATGGACAATATTTACTAGACCATGGTTACTCGTGGTCAACAGTGGTAGTTTCTGGTTGGAAGATGGTTCTTTCATTGGAAAACGGTGGAAATTGTAGCAAGACATATATTCTTCGTACAACCAGTTTATATGATCTTACAGAATCTTTGGTGTGCGACGATCCCGATTTTCAACAGGAGGATCCTAACTTCCTATCGAGAGATGAGTTATACACATCAGCTGTCAGAAGAGGTGTGATGATAGAAAAGAAAATATTACAGTTGAATATTACGGATGCAAAAGAGCAGTACTGGTTTAGAGAGTATGTATAATTGCGGAATTAATAACTTGTATACCACGGTATATTGCACAATCCACGACGTATATGCACCACTTTAGCCCTTCAGTATTACCCCTTCAGTATTACCCCCTATTTTTAATTTTAACACTTTAAAAACGTCACAAATTGGGAAAACTTCAACGTCGCGTTCTGATTTAGAACAAATTAGAATAGACCCTGAAACAAGTATTTTACCATTTAAGGTTAAATTGACTATGCAGCGTAAAGTTCGTTATTTTAATTTGTTTTCTAACATGAACAAACACACATATTTACTATCAATATTTGCTATTCATATTTTCATATTTTGGAACCCAACATAGCAGAACTTAAACCAATGATAACAGTGTCAATAGCTCATAATGCTCTTTTCTACCATAGGTTGCATAAATTTAAGGAGGGTCTAATCAAATCGCAACATTGCATTTATGGCACAGATACAGTAGTCCAATGCATTGTTTATGAAATCATCTCACTAATTCACTCTCATGTTCCACTGGCTGTTTCAATTCTGTTGATTGATGAACACAAATTGTATATCATTTTGTATTTCAGTGCAGCTATACGTAAAAGACAAGGAACAGCAATCGCACTTAATAACATAATGTTTGTTCCAACCCTTATTGGCCAAGCGTCAGAGGAACAAAAAAGAAAATGGCTACCTTTAGCAACAAATCTTCACATTATTGGAACATTTGCTCAGACAGAATTGGGACATGGTGGGTAGCTGAAATTCAGATACTATTTTAAACGCCATCTTCTATACCGGCAGTTAATATTTTGAATTATCTTGATATTTCTTGATTCCGTCTTTCATAGGGACTTTCGTCAGAGGGCTTGAGACAACATCAACATATGATCCAAAGGCACAGGAATTCGTTGTTCATAGTCCTACACTAACATCTACAAAGTTCTGGCCAGGAAACTGTGAGTATGATTGTACTTGCATAATATTTATAAAAATATATGATTATTTGTTATTTGTGTACATATTATTAACTAATCTGTCTGCGGCTATTATAAAACTTATTTTCATTACACTTCTTCTCCGGGAAATGTTGATTCTCGTTCAACGAAACGTAGTTAGTTGATCGTTGCATATTAATGATAAAGTATCCTTTTATTCTTTCTCGTTATAGTGGGTAAAACAGTAACACATGCAATCGTGATGGCGCAGTTAATTACCAATGGTAAACATTATGGAGTACACCCATTTATTGTTCCACTGAGAAGCCTGGAAAATCACATGCCACTACCAGGTGAGAAATATTTTTTTTTATGAAAATTGATTTTAATAGAAACGTCAAAGGACAAGAGCATGTTACTGCATTATTGCATTCTCGTGGATAGTATATATTGAACGCACAATGAAGAGAAAATTTGTATATGTAAGTTATTAAATAAAAATAGTTTTCATTTCCACATTTAGGAGTGACTGTTGGTGATATTGGACCAAAGATGGGTTTTAATAGCAACGATAATGGGTTTCTGAGACTAGAACATGTTCGCATTCCAAGAGACAATATGTTAATGAAGCACGCACAGGTAAATACTGCATAATGCAGTTGATGGTGTTTGTTTTCGAAATTCGACACTTTAAAACCGTTATGCGTACTCAGACAGTACGCCGCGCATAGACCTCCGCTGCGCGTTGGTCGATACCTCGGCTGTACTGTCTTCGTGCATACTTTGAGGTATCCTCGTAATAACCTCATATTATTTGTGTCACATATACTACAAATAATCAATTGCCTGCTAACGAGCAAACCTGTATTACATATCATCTAGTGAACACCGCTCCATCATAACTAGATGGAAATACACAAGCCAAATTCGGGAAATGACAAACAACTATTTGGCTGCAAACATAAAAAAACGTGTTTTCAACGTTCAAAATTACTGAATTTTTTTCTGCCCTTTTCTTTGTTTCAGGTAATCCCGTAACCTGAAAATTATTGTAAATGTCATAAAAACATGTGAACTTAATATATTTGTAACTGCCAATGAATGTCGCTATCTTTATTCTCAATACTATATTATATTATTATTAGGTGTTGGCGGATGGTACATATGTCAAACCACCAACAAATAAGCTGGTATACGGTACACTCGTTTATGCCAGGGTCGGGTATCTGTCTGCTTGTACTGATTTTCTAGCAATGGCGTGCACCATTGTCACTAGATACAGCGCTGTGCGCAGACAGAGTGAGATGCAACCAGGGTAATGCTTTTTTTCTGTCATACTCCTATTGTCATGCTCTGTGTCCAGAGGTAATAAATTCATTAAAAAAATAATGTTCATTCTAAATATATTTGAGCAATAAAATTATATAATTTGACTTTTCTTCTCACAGAGCCAGAGAGGCTCAAATTCTTGACTACCAATCTCAGCAATTGAAGATATTACCCTACATTGCCACCACGTACGCATTTTATGCAGTTCAACGACGTGTCAGCGGAATGGTACGACAGACTTCAACAGCAAATGGCAACCGGAAACTACAGCCTCCTACAAAAAGTTAGAAAATGTTATTGTATTGTGTGTCAGTTTGTTATTTGTATAATGTGTATGTGCGTTGAATGTTGGACAAATAGAGTGGTAAGATTATTAATTGTCATTTTGTGTACTATGTAGTGCCATGCCGTGACTGCTGGACTCAAAGGATTTGTTTCTTATGCAATGAACTCTGGTATAGAAACATGTCGTTTAGCATGCGGCGGACATGGATACTCGCATGCAAGTGGGATACCAGAGTTGTATACGTATTCAACTCATCTAATTACAGCGGAAGGAGAGAATACTGTAATGCTTTTACAAACTGCGAGGTACGTAACTAACGATAAATAAATCAAAGTTGAACAACAACTTTTTTTTTCCGTATTCTCACAAATAGTTTTGAACATCGCCTTTTTTTAAGATTCTGCGATTTGTCAGTGGGTGAATAAAATCGACGTCAGAATAGATTATCGTGAATGTTTGTGATACTTTTAAGTCGCAGAAATGACAGTCAATATTTGTAGTATCCATGTATTTACATGACTGTAATCTGCCTTAGTGGTCGCTTGCTATGTTATTCTGACCGTCTACATGAATGCAACGCTAATTGCATATATGTAAGTGCACGTGACAATATTCTATTTAATTATTCATGTTTCAGGTATTTAATAAAGTGCGCAGGAAGTGCATTGTCCGGCGATGTAATGTCTGGACAAGTTCCATACTTGAATGAACCCATAAAAGAGAAATGTGCGATAAAGAGTGAATCAGATCTGTTGAAGTTAGATATATTGGTCGACATATATAAACACAGAGCTCAGAGGTACGAAACAGGCACAAATCATTGGAATTACCACAAAATTACAGCGATGTGTTCAACTGCCATCTACAGTAATGCGAGCATCCCTTATATTTCAGATTAGTGATGGAGGCAGCTAAAAAGTTACACCGTGATATTTCTGAGGGCCAATCCCAGCACAATGCATGGAATAATTGCCATCTTCAACTTCTCAATGCAGCAATGGTATGTTAGGTACTGTTAATGTGACCCCTCAGTATTAGGTGTATTACCGAACATAATGTCTTTTACTAACACACTGTGTTAATGTATCATCTACAGGCTCATTGTCACTACATTACCGTGAGTGCATTTGTTGGTAGCGTTAAAGACACAAAGATGAGCGACTCGCTGAAACTAGTCCTAACATCGTTATGTCAGCTATACGCGCTGTATGGCATTTATCAAGATTCCAGAGACTTCATGATGGTGCGTTTCCTACTTTAAATACCCTACAATTTCTTCTTTGTATCATTGATGAAGATACATATATTGACAAACGTGATGCTTTCACTGTGACTGAAACATGTACAAATCCTTAAACTCATATTTTGTTCACGATAATTCACAGATCGTGCCAAATAGGTGTTATCACTGCAGAATAAGACTGACGAGACATATATTTGTCACATACATGAATTTAGTTCACTTGACTGCTAATGCTGGCTAATCACGACGTGGTATTTATTAACAGACGTTTACCTATATTTTTGTTGTTATTTCCACTCCTATTCCTGACGTCAATTCTCAGATCGTCGCTGCGCGAATTACACATTTTAATATTCAGCACTCGACTGTTTATACAATTAGTGTTCACATCTCAACAGGATGGTTACCTCTCTGGACATAACATCACCTCTATCACACACCACATCACGTCAATGCTGGCAACTCTTCGCCCCAATGCTGTTGCCTTAGTAGATGCGTTTGACATCCGTGATGAGATACTGTGTTCGATCCTAGGACGGTACGATGGCAATGTATATGAGAATATGTATAAATGGGCCAAGAAATCGCCACTCAACAAAGACGAGGTAAGATGTATAATTGTGTATTTATTATCAGTTTCAACTAATTGATTAAAAACTGATGTGCTGCAGACAACTCTTTCAATAATAAGCAGAACAATTTTCAGCCGTAAGACCATCAACGTGAGCTACAGTTGTACGAATAACGTAAAGCAAATCATCTACAATCAAAACAAGCAACAACTTACAGCGGCAAATACCAATACACACAGTACCGAGATTAACAGATTATGTAACTGTCGAAAAAAATCTGCATGTCCCTTAAACGGAAATTGTTTACAATCGTCTTTGGTTTACCAAGCTAATATCAGACGGCAAGACAACAACAAATGTGAAACATATGTGGGACTAACAAGAAATGAATTTAAAACCCGGTACAGAAACCACGCAGCATTGCTACGCAACCAATCATTAAGAAACGCAACAGAGCTCAGTAAATACGCTTGGTCATTAAAGGACAATAACATCGAATATGACATTAAATGGAGAGTGTTATCGCGTGCTGCACCATATAATACTTCAAGCAAACGTTGCAACTTGTGCATTAGAGATAAATATATTATAATTTTCCTACCACATTACTGTAGTTTAAATAAAAGGAATGAACCTTTCTCTTCCTGTGGACACAGGGCCAAATCGCTGCTATGCAACAGCTAGTTTTAATATCGTATATCGACTCCATGTTATGCAAATCTGTAAGGCTTATAACGTATAATTAGTCTGTTTTGGTGGTTTATTTAATAAATTCTTAACTCCTGGTGAGTGAGGTACTCCATGCACATTACGAAACAGTACTGTAGAGTCAACTTTACCCATGTAGTCGTGTCCTAATTTCTATGTCCACGTATGTGTATATATATATATATATATATATATATATATATATATATATATATCAGATTATCTACACTTTCAATAATCTCTTACATGCTTATTGTATTTTATTTTACAGGTCCACGACTCCTACTACAAGTATTTGAGACCATTTTTACGTAGCCAGACTTCAAAATTATAAAATCAACGCACACCCAGATTCTTTTCAATATTCTCAATATTGTCAAGATTCTTTTTCTTCATCTAAAGGTTGTATGGGTTTCCGGTTTATATTCTACGAGATATGTTAAAAGGATGGTACGATGATCCAGTTTGTTAACTTACTTATCTGCATTAAATGTTAACAATTGTAGACCAAATATGACCAGATACAAGAAATGGCAAGCAAATATTAGCCGCTTATTATCACATCCGTGATCTGATGATCATAGCAGAATCCTTTGGATAGTATTATTGCCGAACATTATTAGATTTGTGCTATTTGCGTATTGCTCTCCGACTAATGCGTAACAGTAATTTTCATGCCGTAATCGACGCAATGAAAGAACGGTGTTTGACATCAATGATACTTCGTCATTTGTTCTGTCTTCTAGCT